TATTAGATTACAGTTCTTTATAAGAAGAATGTAACCTTTCTCCAGAATTTGGCTTATACTCAGAAAGTTATGCTTAATGGCTGGAATATAATAAACATATGCAATGTAGCTATGATCGTCAATCTTCAAACGGATTGGAATGTTGCCTCTTTCTTTCACTAAAACTTTAGAGGTGTCTCTAAAATGACTTGACCTTTTACGGTTTCAACTAAATCTTCAAATAGATCTCGTTGACCACTTATGTGATTTCTAGATTTAGAATCCAAATACCATATATTCACCTGATTCTCACCCAGTCCTTGTTGGACTAATAATACAGTTGGTCCTCTGATGATAACATCCTCCTCTAATGGAGGTTTCCCTCGAAAAGAGGAGTTTATTGTGGTATGAAAATAAAATAAAATAAAATAAAAGAGAGCCTCTCTTAGCCGCAAATTCCATCACAAGTAAGGCCTCCTGTGCTAGCCAAAGCTGGATTGTCTTTCCTACCTCAATCAGTTTGGGAATTCCTGACAGCTTTTCCTTAGACTTTTGCTTCAGCCCTCTCCCTCTCAAGCATTACATGTTCCTTGTATAACTACTCATATTGCTGAATTCGGCTTTCTAACTCAGCTTGGACTCTTGAAGACATGTCAGTCCTTCCTTAGAAATAAATGAAATTGGCTTTCAATGTCTCAAATACAATATTGGTTTGCATCCAACTTACTCCTAATTCTCCTCGCTCCTTCTCAAATCAATTTCTGGCCACTTTTTCCTCTTTTAATTGCTTCTCAAAAAACACAACTTTCTTATCTTTCTCCATTAATTGTTGCTCCATAAACTTCCTCAATTTCTCTTTAGTGAGGAGCTATTCCTCGAGGGTGATCTTGAAAGTTTTACTAGTGCCCAAGTTTACTTGGAGTTTTTTCAATTGTTCTCTTACTTCTTTCTCGTTGTAAATATCTTTTCTCTTGTTTAGTTAAGTGGTTTGCGAAGTCTAAGATTCAAATTTGAGATTAATAGGTACAATATTTATCAATGATAGATTTTGATCTTCATTTTGGATACTTTTTAGTAGTGATTGGATCCCTCAAACCATGTGATTTTTTTTTCAATATCCGCAACTTTTAATTTTGTTTAATGCTTTCCTTAATTACTTTTAAAGCGGACTAATCTTTAAATAACCTATAGAATCATGATAGTTTGGCCATCCTCGACACATGTTATATACCCCCGCGTTGTCTAGCAACCAAGATGGACATGTAACTAATATATCTAATTATTACAATCAAAGACACTTATTATCTTTGTCCACAACCTATTAGATAATTTATTTTTATCGTCTATAAGGCTTTCCATTTAACTTTTCCTTGTGAAATTCTTTAGAGTTTTGTCTTTTATTTTTTTCCAAGTAGATCATTTTACTTTTTCTCTTTAATTATTTTCAATGATTTTTTAACTAAACTATTAGAAATTGTTAAATATTGGTTTTTTGGTTTTTATATAGCTAATCAACTATATATTTGTAGCCTCTTATTGATTTTTTGTCAATCTTCTTGTAATGATTAATTTTTAGGACAATATTAACTTTCTAGAAAAATATTTTTATTTTCCATGAGATAAATTCAAGGAGTGGGTATCTTCATACACCCAGTTATCAAAATACTCATGCAAATATGTTGAATGGTCTCAGTACATCTAACTAATAATTCTTTGTGAACTTTTGATGTATTGTTAAGAAAAAAAACAATAAATATCTTTGTCAAACACTGTTGAATTTCAATAAATACATGCAGAATTTAAGCTAAAATATGTTATGTTGATACCAATTATTCTTTGCAAATTCAACATTAGTCTTGCAAAATATCACAAAGGTATGGTAATGATTTATCCATAATATGCTAATGAACGCCGGCAAAAGAGTTTATAGATCATGGTAAAAACAAAGCAATGTTGAGGCAAATAACGAACTAGAATCCAATATCTATTATTACAGTTATTAGTTTATAAGGCAACTGCTTGAAACTAAAATCTCAATTAATCCAATATCTAAGAATTAATGTAACATCGATTGATAAATTATCAACATTATTATTATAGCAATTACTATTCCTAACATTATTATTATCATTACTAATATTGTCACTATTATTACAGTTACCACCATTACTATTATCATCAATAATAATATCATAATTGAAATTAATATTATTATCTTGATCACAATTATTATCATTATTGTTGTTGTTATTATCATTGCTATTATAATTATTGTTATAATTATTTTCATTGCCACCATAACTAATATTATCATTATTTTTATTCTTATTACTATCATCATCATCATCATCATTATTATAACCATAATTATTGTTGTTGTTGTTGTTGTTGTTGTTATTACCAGTTGTTGTTGTTGTTGTTGTTGTTGTTGTTATTACCACTACTACTACTACTCATGCTCTACCATAACTTTTTTTTTCTGTCATTGCTTTAAACTTGGTTCATGTTTATGCTAAATATATAAGATCACATAAACTTTAACTACTAATAATGTAAAGAGAAATTAACACCAACCATAAACAATAACATAGATAGAAAGGTTTTAAGATGTAGAGCAGTTAATACACAACCAAGACAACGAAAGTGGAATTCAAATAAAACTTAAAGCTTGTCCATTGTAATTTTTATGAAGTCCACATAATATCAGTTTAGCATGCTTGCCAGATTCAAGATGCTGGACCCATGTTGCTTGGGCATGACATGGTTGTTAGATCTAAGGTGCTTGAGCCTGACATGGTTGTCAGAGTCAAATAGCTTGTTTGTTAAGGACTCAAATACTCATGCAAATGTGTTGAATGACTTCAGGATATTTAATTAATAATTCCTTGTAAACTTCTGATGTATTGTTAAGAAAAAAAGCAACAAATACCTTTACTAAACATTGCTGAATTTCAATAAATAGATGCAAAATTTAAGTTAAACCATGTTTTGTTGATACCAATTGTTAGATACATATTCATGATCTTGCAACTTTAAAAAACTCTAATCAAATGTAAGGATATACTTATTATCCTCCAATAAAATGTTGATTTAACATGCTCAAAGTTTTCTTATTCTACCCATTAATTTGTTGTCCAAACTTTATGTTACTCATTTCTAATCCTTCTAACATTATTGAAAAAAACAACAAAAGCATGTTAGATCTTTTAAAAAGATCCCACCTTTGATGTTAGAACTCATAAAATTCAATACTTTTCCTTAAAAAATTATGGGTTTGATGATGAGATCAAGAATGTTCTCATTAGATATATCCATTTTGTTAATGGAAAAATAATTAATCACATCAAACTCTTAAGAATAGATAAAAGCAAACCACATAATTTTCTCCCATTAATCATACCATAAAATTATGCACTCTCTTTGTTGTCCTTTTCTCTCCGTCACGACTTTCTCCTCTTCTCTTCCATTTCTTCTGCCGATTTGGTTGAGAATAAGGAGAAGGACTAACACAAGAAGCACCATCTTCATACTCTCTCTGCAGTTTCGTCTCATCTAATTCACTTTCATTCTCTTCGTGATCTGAGTTGTAAAAAATTAAAAGAAAATGAGAAAGAAGAAGCAATGAATTTGAAGAAAAAAAAGTCAAAGAAACGTTTTTCTGCTTGCAAAAAGATGAGAAATTAAAAGTAAAATTACTATTACAATTCACAATAAGATCTCTTAATCCATAATGATTTTTTCAACCATTTAGCTTGTGTTGTAATTTTAGATTTATTCATTTAATTTTAAATTTGTATTAAAGAGTTACATGAATATTAATATAATTAAATTCATTTTACACAAATAGTAGTTTAATTGAAAAATAATCAAGTAATTAAAATAACTTGAATATAAAGTAATTTCAATAACTTAGAAAAAGAATAATTATATTTATAGAGTGATTCATACTTTGATTATATCCATAAATCGAAACTTCTCGATAATAAAATATTTTTTTGATATTTCTAGTTTATGGAATTGAGATTGAAAGCCTATTTATTACAAAAAAAAAAACTTATAAGTCTATTTAATTATCATTAATTATCTTATCGCCTATAATTTTCAAGTTTGAAAAATTTCAAAAACTTGATAAAACTATAATGTAATGATTTGAGTTTTTATTATATTGTTGTATCTTTATTTTTTGCTATATGTTTTATATAGTTAAGTGATATCAACTACTAATTAACTTCTATCTTTCATAATTATTGCTGCTTTCTAATTACGTAACTTATTATGCATGTTTATTTACATGTCCCTTCTTTTATATATATATATGGTAAGCTTTAGTTGCCAGTGGTGGATTACTGGAAGACCACTGGAGCTGATAAGAATTATTGCTGCCGTTCTCGGGTCAGAAATTATCGAAATGACATAAGGTTCTCTCTGGGATATGAATTAAAGTGACACTAACAATGTTCTTTCCTGGATTTTGGATTTAATATTATGTGCACACAATGTTTGATAAAATTTCAATTATGAAAGTTTTATTTTTTAATTATAACAAAGTAGACAAAATTGTAATATTTAATATGATTCCCTAAATAATTTGATTTTTTTTAGTTGATTTTTCTCAGGCGAGATGTAAAATATTATAAACTTTAAAATATAAATTATAATTTTCAAGGAATTTTTAAAACAAAAAAAAAAAACAACCTAATTATACAATGGTCGGGGTGATTTTTTTATTATATTTTCAAGGGACAGGCCTGAGCTCTATAAAAATCAACCGGGTCTGACCTAGGCTCGGCCCGGACCATGAACAGGTCTACACACTTAACGAAACGTGGAGACTTTGCTGGAAAGAGCTATTCGCACACCGCGTTGTCTATTCGCACAGCTATTATATGCTAATGGACAAATTTGTCCCTTTAACTCTAGATTAACTTCCAGCCTATGCTTTGGTGGAGCACAAATTAACATTTTTCAATTTAATTAATTATTTACAGTCTCTCTTCAACTCTTCACCACTACGGTAGTGGCACTGCCAGTAGTTCCTTTGGATTTCCCTATCCTACAAGAAGTCTCAATTGTTGTGGGATTGTAATTGTTAGATGACCACGAGGACAGATAAGTCCATTAACTCGAAATTGGTGTGCGGATAGATAATGAAGCTCTGCGAATACCAATCCCCGACCTCACAATAAAAATTAAAATCCCTTGATCTAGCTAAAACCACACTCCCGTTAACAGTCTTCTTCTTTGAAGAATCTGCTTCAACTCACAAACCAAGGTACTGTACTCTCTATACTCCATGTTATTCTCAATTCTAAATCAAGAAATGGTAAAAAATACAGATGGGTCTTTTACAATTTGCTTGTGTTTTGATAGCATTTTCTCTTAATCCATTCCTTTTGGGTGTGTATCATAATGATATCTATTTGTTCTTTAGCCGAAGTTGTAGTTACTTAATTCTTGATCAGTTCTATTTCAATTCCTTAAATTTACTTTAGGAACCTGGATCAAAGAAAATCTAGCCAAGATGCTATTGATTTCTTCTTCTTCTTCTTTTCACGAGCTATACGGATTTAGAATGAATAATTAGTGTGTTTATCTCATCGTGGTGTATTCTTCCATTTAGATAAAGAAATTGTATGATTCTAAACCCTTTAACTGTAGATTAGAAAGTGTTGGCTTGCATGCCCCGAGTCTCATATAGGCTTCTTGTTCTTTACTGTAAATTTATTTATTTATTTTTGTTAAGGGAAAGTGTAGTGTAGACTAGCAACATTTATTTGCTTTGCTGAATATAATCCACTGGTTGTATCATGAGCAAATGGGAATTTCGAGCTCGTTTACACCTTCAATGTTAAAATGCCCACACATTTCTCCAGAATCATGCTTCTTTTGTTATAGGAGGTTGAATTTGGGAAGTTAGGGAAAAATGGATTTTTGTTTTAGTTGATTAATTCTTTGATCCTTTTTAGGGTGCTATTTGTTGATCATGGTAATGTTAGCAAAATGCTTCAAGGTGGAAGTACATTTTTTTCTGTAAATCTTTTTTCTTATGAATATTAGATATCCACTTCGGGATTTCTTTCTGCAAACAAATGGTTTTCTTTCGTTAGCCATTGTAAAACTCTCTTGCACTCTCCTTTGTCCTGTTAGTCCGTAATTTCCCCTCAACTGTTAGTTGATTAGCTGCTTTGTTGATTAGCTGCTCATAGTTTTCCCTGCTCATAATTTTCTATCTTACTTTTCTTACGAGATCTTCCTTCTCAGTTTTCCATTACTGCTTTTACTATGGTGCTTATGAGAAAAATAATGAAAAGAAAAGTAGCCATCCAAGAAATCAACTTTGGCATTAATTTGTAGTGTGGAATGGTATGTACTCAGCAGTACTTTAGTGGCTTTTTGCAGCGAAGGATGGGAGGCCGAGGAGTTATTGGTGATAAATGGTCCTCGAGGATTCTTTGGGCCTGTGCTATTGGAAGTGTAGTCAGTATGTTTTCTTGACTCAACTCCTGATTTATCGCTAAAAACAACCGATTGTTTTAATGGAATTGTTGGATCACGAGCTTTGTTTTTCCTCAAGGTTACCCTCCCCCTGATAATTTCTGGTTACCTCTTATCTAGGCCTGTATATGGTTGTTGTTGAAAGACAATTACAAAACAGGGAACGAATGATGGCTGAAGGTTTAAAGAATATTGATGTGGAATCAGGCGCTGGTGACAATGTTTAAACATGTGACGACATGCCAATAAACTCTGCTGTATTTTCTTTTGAAGAGCTTTCTCACTGTGCTAAGTTGAGCCCCCTGTTAATGTAAAAGCTTGAAGATTTCCTCTTGTTTTGTTTTGCATTTGGAGCTTGAGGGTTCGTCTCTGGTAATAATTCATTTACTTCAGATGGATGGTAGTGTTTCATAGATCAGGATTTAACAGTTCACACCAAGGAATATATATAAAGGAGCAGCCTTTTAATTTTGCTATGCTCTGGTTAAAATATTTTGGTTGTGTCATCAATATGGAAATGCTATGCTGTTGATGGATGACCCATTTTAGGCGATAGGTTTTCTGTTTTGCTTATACGGCCAAAGAGTCGAAATTGTCCCGGCAGTCTTGCTTGAGGTATCTTACTAGATCTTCCGGGAAAAGGTTTCCAGCTCAAGAAAATGATTGCCACCACCCTTTCTGGCGTTTTGGCAAGGAAAGGGTTCTTTTTTGAAGGACGAAGACTTTGATGTCTAATCAAAATGCTGACCGGAGGATGGAAAAGACCAAATCGTATAGTAGCAACTAGTCAGGGGGTTGCGGAAGCTGTGGGCCGGTTTAATTATTTAAAAAAAAAAAATCAGGTGGTAAAAAAAGATCTAAAACTTGGATTATCGAATTGATTGGATTTAATAAATTTGATTTATTTAATTAATATAAATTAAAAATATAATAATAATAATAAATAAATAAATAGCTAAAAAATATTATCAATGTAAAATAGATAAAAAAAAATTAAATTAAATTTATCCCGATTAGCTTATTAAATGACTTCATCGAGTTGCTAGTGTTGACACCTTAAAGGAAAGTAGTTACAAGGGATGGAAAGTTAATAGCAAATTAAATAAAATTATAAAGTTAAATTATAAAATAACACAATGTATAAGGATAACATTGAAAAAAAATAATTACAAAAACAATTTGTATCATTTTAAGTTTACCTACTAATATTGTGATCATGGACACATGATTAAAATAACTAAATAACTTTACTGGAAATATATATATATATATAAAATAAATTAAATGTTAAAAAAATTGATTTTTTTTAATAATGAGGATTTAAAAAAAATCACTTGTATTAATTTTCAAAACTCATGACCCTAAGACTAACATCATAAAAAAAATTATAAAAAAATAAAGTAAAATTATAAATCAATAAAATACTAGGGGATGAGATTGAAAAAAAATGCAATAAAAAAGTCTCCAAAACTAAAGAAATGATAATTAAAAAAATAAAAAATAAATTTAATACAAAAATAATTTAAAATCAAATATTAAGAGGTAAAATTAAAAACAAAAAATTTAATATAAAAATAATTTAAAATCAAATATTAAGAGGTAAAATCAAAAACAAAATTCAAATAAAAAAGATAGAAAAAACAATAATCTAAAGAATAAGGACGAGATTTAATATAAAAATCAAATCAGATCAAATGATGAGGGATAAAATTTTTAAAAAAAATTAATAACAATAAAAAATAACCGAATTAAATTTAAAAAATAACACATTTATTTTTTAATAAAAAAAAGAAAGAAAAAGATTTAAAAAAAAAATAGTTCATTAAGCTCAACCACTATTATAATGGCAGTATGCTCAGCACTGCTGGAAAAAACATGGCGAGTTACTTTCAATACTATCTTGATGCCACATGCATTGCTTCAAGAGCATTGGTATCACCAACTCGCTAGTACGTACTAAAAAAACCAGATCACTTTAGATACAGATTAATTATAAAAATGAAAATATGCAAATACCCTACTTCCAGGGTTTATTTGTTTTTACTTTTAAGGGAATGGATGTCTTTACACCGTTCTTCAAAAATGTTAAAAGCTTAAATGAATCCTGGGGAGCTTGTTACTTACAAAATGAAAAATCAACTTGAAAAAACAAAAATAATCCTAGTTAAAAGTCTTTACAATGTTTTTTACAAAATATAAAAAAATTAAATTATCCTGTTAAACCTAGATAAATTTAACGAGTAATATCTAGTACTATTGAAAGGTCAAAAGACCAGTTATCCCTAAATAATTGATAATAACCAATGACTCCTCTAGATTTTCTTGTCTCTTTCAACTTTTTTAATTAAATTTTAATTTTACTTGTGCATGAGTTGAATTAAATTGCTGTTTTCTTAATATATGATCAGTGTTTCTTTACAACTGATAAATTGTTGGGGCACATCGAATCCGAGTTGCTGTTTATGTCCCAATTTGTTTCATCATTCTAGTTCATAATAACCACTGGACTGTTACTGCAAGAAGCCATTTTTTAAGCCACAGGAATCGATGACATTGAATTCAAAATTTAGCCGTAATCTCCAGTTATGCCTGTTGGGTTACAGGTTTGGTGTTACAGCTACAACACGTAAATTCTCACACAAGCATCGTGGCTGCGGGTTGCAAGAACGAACCCATGCAGACATTTTGCGCTTTTATTATTACACCGTAAATACCAATTTAACCTTCCTCTTAAGCTTTCGGTATATAAAGCCATGTCTTGATTTGCTGCCTTGCAGATCGATACAAAACAAAAAATGACAGCACTAAAATGTGCCTGCGTGGGTCTCTTGGTCTTGCTATGCTCAAGCTGCAGTTTCGCTCACAGATTCTTTTTGGACAATGATGACCAAATGCATGAAGGCCAACGCCATGGTAGTACTGATGATCCTGGGACCGGGACTGGAATTGGAAAAGATTTTGGGTTTGGCAGTGGTGGCGGATCAAGTGGAGTAGGTGTTGGGTCTGGGTCAGGTTCTAGTGGACATGGCAATGGACTCGGGTCAGGATCTCGTGGTTATTGGTTAGGGTATGGAGTAGGTTATGGATCTGGTCGGAATGGATATGAAGACCCCGAGACTGGTGAATCCGGCTGGGGCATTGCAGTAGGTTCAGATGGATCTGTGTCTGGAACTGGTGGAGGAGCCTTCATCCCAGGATTGCCTGGTTTTGGTCTTGGGGGTAGCATAAGATGGCCTGGTTTTGACTTTGGGGGTAGCATAGGATTGCCTGGTTTTGAAATAGGTGGAGGGATTGGAGCAGCACAAGGCAGCGGTGGAGCTGCAGGTACTCGATCTCCTAGTTATGGGATTGAAATAGGGCAAGGTGGCAGCAATGGTGGCACGATAGCAGGAATTGGTATGCCACCACCACATTTCATCCCGGGGTATGATCAGATAGGCAATGGATGTACCTGCAGCCCAGAGTGTTATAATCAAGTTTCAACGATGAAGGGAGGATCAGTATCAAAAGCAAATGATGAGCACAACTTTGGAGCTCAGAATGAGGTCTCTAGAGACGAGGCTCATGAGTCCATCGATGTGGCCCTGGAGCCGTGGAGTCCAAATGAGACTCAGGAATATCCAACGTTGCAACCACGGAGCCATACAGTCCATGAGCAAGGCGCTACTAAAAATATGATCAAACACAGCGCAGAACCAATAAGTTAGGAAAACAGTCTGTGCTTTCCCCCGAATAAGTAGCTGAATGTTTCGAATAATTCCATCTCAAATTTCATTCAAGGATTGTTTAAAAACGAATTAAAGAAAACCCTAATTCTGTATTAGTTGAGACAAGAAACGAGGAGATGGTGAAGATAGAAATGTAGAAAACATAAAAAGTGAATTGCCAAAAAGTTAAATACATGAGGAAAAAAGAGAAAGGACAGATGATTTTCAAATCAATCCTGTTGGGTTAAAAGTGTAAAACTAACAATATAAAATAGTGTTAATGTAACTGCAAGCATAATTCTTTTAGTGATTGAATTATTCTTATAGAAAAAATTATTTTATATCAATTTTATTTGTAACTAACTTCCTAATTTATTAGAGATAATCTTGAATTAATTTTTCTAGTATCAAAGACCACTTCTTCAGTAGCAAATGAACACTCCTTGCATCTTTTGTTGCACACATCTATTTTGTCCCTTAAAATTTCAAACTTTATTTTAAATAAGGACTTAGTTAATAAATAGGTAAACAGGTTTTATTTTGTTTTGCAATAAATCAATTATAAATTGTTATTTTTCTAAACTTCTCTTAGAAAACAATACTTGAGCTTGAAATTAATACTTCATTTTTCTATAAAAAAATTGGAATGTTAAATATTGCAATTGCAACCTGATTATCAACATTAACCTTAGTAGTTTTCCTTTGCTCCATGTTTAAATTTGTGAAGATCTTCCTAAGCCATAAGACTTGATTTGCAGCTGTAATTACTGCAATATACTTTGTTTTTGTTGTAGATTGTGTAATAATTTCTTATTTTTTGTAACACCAGGAGAAAATTCTTGATCCAAAACTAAAGCAATATCCAGAAATGCTTTTCAAGTCATCAAAACCGCTAGCCCAATTATTATCTGTATATCCTTGTAACTTAAAATTTTCAACGCAACTGAATTAAATGCCATAACTTAGTGTACCTTTGATATATCTCATTATTCTTTTTGCAGCCTTGAAATAAACTTCACTTGCAAAATGCATAAATCTGGATAATAAGCTTACAATATGCATGATATCAGGTCTTGTTGCTATGAGGTACATCAGCCACCCAATCAAACTTCTGTCAATTGTTTCGTCTACTTTGTCGCTCCATCTTTTTTCATAGAACTTTTCTTTCAAGTTTATAGGTGTATTCATTGATTTGCATTCTTCCATTTTGAATTTTCTTGGAATCCCTTTGGTATAGTTATGTTAGCCAATAAAGATCCCACGTTGGCTTTGTTGTATTTCCATGCTAAGAAAAAAAGACATTTCACCAAGGTCTATTATTCCAAAGACCATCATCATTTCCGTTTTGAATTGATCTATCATTCATGGATTGTTTCCTGTAATAAATAGATCATCAATATAGAGTGAAACCATAATGTAATCAGAATTTGGATTTTTGATATATAAGGTTGATTCACTCAAACTTTTCTAAAGTCATGTTTGAGTAAATGCTTATTAATCATACTATACTAGATTTTTGGAGCCCATTTCAATTCGTATAGAGCTTTCTTCAATAAGTAAACCTTTTTTTCTTCACCTCCAATAACAAGTCCCTTATGCTGTTTCATGAAAATCTCCTCCTCTAGATAGCCATTTAAAAATGCAGACTTCACTTCAAGTTGAAATATTTTCCAACCTTTTTGAGTTGCAACTGCTAGTAGCATTCTAATGGTGCCTAGTTATGTCACTGGTGTAAAGGTCCCTGAAAAATCTAAACTAAAAATCTCTACCTAACCTTTAAATA